CACATATGTATGTGCACCATGAGTACTTGGTACCCACAGAGTTCAGAGGGTACTGGATACCCTAGGATTGCAGTTACAGAGAACTGTATGCTGGCAGGAATTGAACCTGGATCCTCTGCATATGCGACAACTGCTGTAACTTCTGAGCCAACTCTTCTGTCCCTTCTGTGATTATCTTTTGCAATACAGATAGACTGAGATTCTCTCAAATAGCCAAGTGGACTACTTTCTTTTAAACTTTGTTTTATTCTTTAGCCCCCTTTTACTGTTTCACTATGGAGACTGAGAATCCCTGAATCTGACCTTTCACATAGCTGTAGGGCATAACTGAGCTAGCTATGGACATCTTCCCTCCAGGTTCAATCACAGGTTTGAATGTGCTTCAGAACACTAAAGAAGCACCTGTAAATGACCCGCATTTCTGGAGGTTAAAAACAACACTATGTGTTTTCTGTCATGTGCCTCAACATTGTCCAGTTTCTTCATAATTTCAAACGCACAATCACAAAGGAAGTTCAAAGCAGAATTTTATTCCAGAGCCTAAAAGTCTGAACTCAGCATGTTAGCAGGGCTCAGTTCCCTTGGAACTATCGAAGGAGGCCCTTGACAGGAAGACTATCTTCAGACCACAATCGTAAACCTACCTTTCCTGGAGACAACATGTCTCTTTAATGTGTAGCTCTGGCTGCTCTGGAACTTGCTACCTACACCAGGATAGCCTCTAACCCAGCACTGGGATAAAGGGGTGCAGCACCACGCCTTGGGAAAGACAACATTTTGGAATCTCATTCTGCTCTGTCCTCAGCTTCTCTTAAAGGACACGTGGTGATATAAAAGAAATAACTGACATTAAAATCTCCTTCTCGAGATATCTCAATCACACCTGCAAAGAGCATTCCTCACTTTTTTGACCATATAAAGAAACATCTGAAAGTTCTAGGAATTAGGTATGGGGGAGGAACTGTAAAATGCTCAGTTTACTACACCAAGTGTCCTTAAAAACAAAACAAATTACCCCCGACATTTTCCTGAGAAGTTCCCTCTCAACTGCACCTGAGCACTAATTTATACTCAAATACGTACATCTCTCAAGTTCAAACACTGCACTTTTAATCTCTCAGTCATAAACTTACACCAGAAAGAAGTGACCCCTCTCAGTATCAGACATAACTGTCAACTTACACTCTGCACTGACTTCAAATCCTGAACACCCATCTACTCAGAACCCATTAACCTTCTAAAGACTCCTAGGTGCAACGACGCAGAGATGGGTCATGTGAGTCTCTACACTGCAGGACACTAGGCAGACAGGCACAGGTGGAGGCCGTATCTCTTACTGGTAACTTAGTCAGAACACACCCCTCCACAGTAATATCTAACTCTACCGGTGGCAACATGCCTGTAACACTGCATTAGGGAGGTGAAATAGAAGGGTTAGCAGGAGTCCAAGTCCAGCCTGAGCTACAGAATCAAGTCTAAGCACTAATGAAGCTAGGCTACAGAGTTGAGACCCAAAACTAAACAAAATTCTGCTTCCTTTTCATGATTCATATACTTCTGCACCATCCCTGGCATTTTCAAAGACACACCATACAAAACCCGGAGAAAACATCCCCCAAAATTTAAGTGCTTCTAGAAAAAGTAAATGGGCTGGGAGATGGCTCAGTGTGGAAGGTACTGGCTGCACGGCATCAGGACTGGAGGGCAGGACTAGAGTTTATATCTAGCACCCCTCCCTGTAGACATGGTCCTGGTGGTATGCATGCACCGCAAACCTGTGAACTGGAAGTGAGGGTGGAGACCCCTGGCCCATCAGCCTGCTAAAATGGTAAGCTCCAAGTTAAGTGAAACCACACCTCAACAAATAAATGACTGATAAGTAAACAAATGAGGGGGGAGAGAGACAGAGACTGAGGAAAACACCAGACACCAACCTCAGGCCTCCACATGCGTGTGCATACATTGGTAAGAACATATGCATACATATCAAAAACACAAAGGAAATTAAAATTCTGCATTAATAATCCTTAAACTACTGTAAGGCTGTCAATTCAAGTTTAAAAACTAGTAGTGTACCTGCTCAGTGAAGGCAGTCCACATGTGGATTATGTGATTTTATCAAACATGTATATGTTACTTGTTTGGTCACGTTACAGAGAAACGTATCTTGACACATTATTTGGAACAGATTGAGCAAGAGCTGTGTACAGATTAGCGTTAACAGAAACCACGCACTCCACCTGACTAATCTAGCACATTCCTTTTTGGTCTCCACTCAACTCCAGATTCAACTGTTACCCTAACAGGGCCTACTTAAAGTGTTCAAAAGGAAGCCTTAGCGTACTTGCCTGGTCAGCTCTCTTTCCATGCCATAAAGAAGGACTGCATCATTTACAAACACGTGTAACTGAGGTACGTGTAAAGTTATGCTTGGAAACACTAACTAAAGATAACTGTTCTTAACACACTGATATGTTCTCTATGAGCAAATGTCCATCTCTAAGAGACAACAGTTTTTATCTGGCTATTTTGTACATAATATCTCCTGTTCAGAAGTTCTTTGCAAAAAACTCACCTGGCTCCAGCTATCACTCTTAGTGACCATAAAAAAAAAAAAGCACTGTGTGTGAATGGAATTTCACATGAGTAAACTTTATAGGATAAATTTGTAGAAGCAGAATTCCAAGTCTGGGGTATATAAAAATAGTTAAGCAGTTTCTGAAACTTGTTACTCCCATCTAAATCCACAGGATCACAGAAGTGCTCAACATTCTCTATCTTTCAACACAGGATACTTCCTAAAGAATGGAAAACTAATTTGGAACAGGACTGCAACAGAATGGGGAAAAAAGATTTTGTTTCCACAGATGTTAGGATCTATTTTCTAGGAATTACAGTAGCTAATTCTTCATGCCATATATAATAATTCTGCATGTTTCTGGGTTCTTATCTGGAAGCTGGTCTTTATCAGTTTTCTGTTACTCTGAAAACTGTCCATGGCAGGGGCACTATGTCCTCAAAGCACCCTCCTGCCTGGCCTGCCTCTGCTCTCTCTCACATGCTTCTTGGCAAGCATCACACCTGCTCACTACTGTCTGTAACGCCTACCTATTATTTTCCCACTGTCCCAGAGACTTCCATTTCACTTCTTCACACTCTTATGAGAGGTCTACTTCAGAGACATCTCTTGGAAGGCCTTTGTATACCAGTCCATCACAATTAGGTCAATCATACCCTACCATCCACACCACTTAAACATTGCTGTAGAATTAACTTTTCTTAGAACCGTCGATGTCTCTACAATAAACACTAAATAATTTACAAGACTATAACTCCTTATCTACTTTCCAAATGACTTTTGTGAACGTAAGACTTGAGTGCACAGTTACCTTTGGGCACTCCTTAGGTACAATGTTTCCTATGTCTTGTTCTCTACAGCTTAGGAACAGGCAGCCATTCTAACACCCAGTACACAGCTGCTGTTCCTGCCAGGCGAGCACCACAGCACTTGGGGAAATCCCTGGTGTCTACACTACACTACTGCTTCACTTTCCCTTTGACTGATTTGTCCTCAATTTGACTGAATTTTAATGTTTTATATCAGATTTCCCAGTAAACAAAGAGCAAGGGAAATGACAGGAACAATATCCAAAGACCTTTAACGTTCAACCTGCCACCATCTTCACATCCAATTCATCTTCTGACTCCCTCATAAAGACATTCCACTTTCCACACACAATTGTCAACACCAGTCATTTCTTAAGCTAAATATACCCAGGGTGTTTATGAGTTTCTAGAAGTCCAGCTTCTCTACCTAAGGCATCCTTCCACTGAACTTGACTGTCCACATGGCATCAGAATGATGTCACTCCCTATAGTCTACAGCAGATAGACTTCATTTTCTTTTAATTCATGCACTAGCATTTTACAATGTGAGGATGAACATTAACCACAGCCGGAAAAATCCTTCTCTAGACTGTGATCAGTCTTCCCACCATCACCACCCTCCAAAGAGAGACAAGTTTATTTTCCATAAAGGTGCACTAGTACCTGAAAGGAATCACACCAAGGTGAGAGGTATGGAGACCACCACCAGTCAAAGTTAACGCAGTCATCTAACCCTTCTACCATGTTGCCATAGACCTAGATCACTAGCATATTTCTCATCTGAAGTGTTTGTCACAAACCAGACTTTATTTACTCTTCAAAGTTCAACCACCCAAATATGAAATAAGACTATCCCCTTCTTCTACCTGTAGTGGGATATACTCTTATCCCACCCAGGCCCTTTGACAAGCTCCCCTTTGTGTTCTTCTGAATAGTCAGTTTTCAAGGAGAAATTAAGTGACACAACTTGCTCTTCCCCTAAACAACAAGTCTTAGCAGCAAATACCTCTGTTGGTCTTGATACTGCTACTGCATTCGAATCACTTTCCTAGAATCTCTCCTAAGTTATATCTATACTCATGGGTTCTGAACCACTTATATTCATAGCCTCTCCTCACAATAGCTCATTATATTTTAAATTTGCCTACACCTTTTATAATGCTATGATATGATTAAGTCTATGATATGATTTAGTCTCTGTACTTCTGTTGCAATCGTAAATTAAAACATTTTAGAGATAAAATGCATGAGCTGCAGTGGCGCACACCTGGAATTCCAAGGCCAGCCTAGATTACAGGAGGTCTGTGGCACGAGAGGGGAAAAATCAGACTGCATTTAAGCAGTCTTCCTTCTGTCTAGTGACCGTGAGTAAGGTCAGGGCTGAAGACAATGGGGGCAGGAATAGTACACCTCCCCCCAAAATGTTTTAAACCACTGAAAATTTTATAATTCTCTCCAAACTAGAGATTAAAATATCACCAATTCTACCACTCTTTACCTCAACCTCAAGGTCCTTGAAGCAATCTTGAGAATCTCCACAAGCCCAATTACTCAGCACAAATCCACATACCCTGAAGACCCTGCATGATGCCTCCCAAACACACAGCACTCACCAGTTTGGCCTGTGCTTCTGCGATTTTCCGGTTATTTTCTTCTAATATCCGCTCCAGCTCCTCACGCTTTGCTCGTTCTTCCTCCTAAAGGGGAGGACATGTTACAACGTTAGGAAAACAAAGTGTTTAGCTCTACCAGCAAATAATACTAATCTTCCTCTCAACTCTCGGATCTGACTTACTGGGCGGCTTTACAGCCACCTTTCTGTCTGACAAATGATAAGCTGTGCAGTCACTAAAAAATTGGTTTCTAACACTAAATTTAAATCATCCCTCCCAGTCCAAAACAGCAACCGACTAAACCCTCCCTAATAGTCTCCTGGCAATTATTACTAATACTTTAATATCACACAAATCAACAAGGACAACTACAAAACTGGATAGTATTTACCAAATTAAAAATATATATAAAATATAAATAAAGTGAATATTTGTCTCACCAATTATGGATACCTACGTATTCTTTACCTATACTCCTTTAATCAGCATTAAAAGTTGAGTATTTACTGTCTTGTCCAGTGTCCTGCAGAGTGTGCTCCTCGGCTGCCATACGCGCCAGCTTCCTCTTTAAAATGATTTGTACTGTTAGCTTGGCAATACCTGCATCAGCAGCTCAACCATTTATAAAGAAACAACATACAAGGAAGGCTGAGCTGAGGAATGCAGATGTTTATGGTAAGAAGGAACAAAAAATGTAATTCATCATTCCTAAGGCAAACAATTAATAAGAAAAATACATTTACTGTTAGTGAAAAATACAAATGGTAATCCATACTAAGGACTGTTTCCATGGGGCATGGACTTAACATCAGATGTTGACAACCACTAAAGGCAGCTTATATTGTCATCTACAGTCTGCACTGAAATTCAGGAATCCGGGGGATGCACAGTCAGGAAGTAAAATTCTGTCATTTTTTTTCTTGGAGAATTTAATGAAGTTTTATAATGCAAACTATATGAAGATTGCTTGATGGTTTGGGCAGTGTTCAGACCACAGCATACATACTCAAATGATTTTAGTATTTGGAAAGACTGTCAGAGGATTGTGTCCGTGTTAAAAAAAATGTTAATATGAAACAAAAAGCAAATGAAGAGAAAAAAATCTTGCTATGATTAATAACTCGCTACAAAATAGCACAATTACTCCAAAATTATCTCCATTATTAAAGGCACTGATATGAACCAACTACAAACAGGTCTGTGTATTAAGACAGGACAAGGGAGATGCACTGTACAAGCGAAGCTTACTAGAAAGCAGACTTAACACAATGTCAACTTGTCCACAGTAACGCCAGGATGAAAAATGACAGTAAGCCATGTCTTTAAGCCAAATATTTATAAATTTTCAAGACAATGTAACTCCAGATTTCCTGTGTCACACGAATTCATTTTTTCGTTAGCAAACTGTGGAGACACTCAGTGCTGTGAAGCAATTGCCTTGAGTGTCTCCGTGTCTCTCGCACACTTTGGGATCCTGGAGTAATCAGTGCAAACAAGCCATAAAGCTTCAGTAGCAAATTACTGTCTCACAGAAAGACATTTTCAACTTCTGCTCCAGCTGCTGATAAAACAAATCATGTGTTTAGCTTGACTCCAGACAAGGACAACCTGTTCCTTCATAACTCTCTAGAGAAAAAAAGGAGTTGTTAGTAGGTACTTAAAAAAAAAAAAAGGAAAAAAAAAGATGAACAATCTGGACATTTTTCCTTAAAAGATTCCTTGAAACACATTACGAAAATGGAGGGCCTTATAATCAAAATGCTAGAATTAGTCCACTGTGTTGAACGGATTTAGGGAGGGGATGAGGGATAACAGAAGGAAAAAAAGAAGAGCGAGAAAACCTGTGTATCAAAAGCAGGAGCTGTCACTCAATGTCAGGCCCTGCTCTTTGTAATCTGACTGAAGGCAAAAGGCTCTCACAGTCGAGGTCACAGTGATAAACAGAAAGGAAGATGCAACCACGGGTGGGCGGACTTTTAGCCTTTTCCCTTTTCCACTCCCTGGCTTCCCCCTACCCTCCCAAAAAAGAATGTAGTCCTGCAGCCATGGCAAAAGTTTCAAACACTTCTCAAATACATAAGCCAGTTCCGTTAGATCAAAAAAAAAAATATCCTTGAATAAGTTTTAAGAAAGTAGCTTTTAAGTACCAGTCAGCACTTCTGGCTAAAAAATTATCTTTCGCAGCCATGAAACTTTAGATGAGAAAGGAATTAGAAAGTCGCATTCCATCTCGTTCTGGACTGAGCAGGAGGCACACCTGACACTGAAAGTTTTGCCATGGACTGTCTCTACTTTCCAAACGACCGAGCGTTACCTCTCTAGCTTTTTGTGCTGCAAGCTCAGCTTGTCTCTGTCGCTCGAGTTCTTCGAGCAACTGCTTTTCCATGATGCGTTTGGCCTCTTCCACCCTTCGGAGGACTTCTCGCTCAATCTCATCCTTCCTTTTCTCCAGTTCTTCTTCCACCCTCTTTGCTACCAATTCTTCTACTCTTCGTGCTGTTTCTTCCTCAATGAGTTTCTCTTCTATTTCTTGCTGCCGACTAGGAAATGAAAGGAGAAAAGACAACATTTTAACCTGAGAATTAAAACTAATTTTAAGCGTACTTATTAAGTCTTATTTCTTATACCCATAATTTTATAGCTTATTCTTACATCACATTCAGCAAAGAACCGCAATCAAGATAAGTAATATCTTGATTACTCATTTCACAATAAGAAATTCAAATGAGTATAAATATCTTGGGGGAAGGCGAGTGTGTAACAAGAACCTAACTCCTTAGGTTTATTTAGGACCTGGGAATCTGAAACAGGAGCCTACTTGTGTCATCAAGTAGGTGATGCACTTAGTCACTGTTCAAGGTGGAGCTACAGAAACTCCGTAACAACAGCACTGTAGTCTTTACTCTGGGTTCTGAACTTAACTTATTGTGCCTTTTCCTCCTTTAATATTTGATTTCATTTAAAAGTTGTTCTAGATTTGACAGAATAGAAAAGTAAGACTATACTGTATTATCAAGGCTAACTGAAGCCTTACTGTTCCCATTTTAATCCCATTGAAACAACTAGCTTACTGACTAGAAACAAAATTTTGTCTAAGAACATCTATCAAAGTGCTATCACAAAAACCTTGTGCATTTGTAGCAATGACAGTCACGGTACCATCCATCTATTGGCAAGTTAGTGGGAGGAAAACCTAAAATGCTCTTCCATTTTGTTTGGTTAGATGTTAAATTTAAGCATTCTGGATAGACTGGAAGCATGCTAACACTACACTGGTCTTGGAACTATAGTTTAGAATACAGAATCAGTAGAAAGTATTGACGTTCACTTTGCTCCCATTATGTTTCTACCCAGGAGCAGGTCAAGCATTATTTTGTGCATAATGAATGAATTCAAAGGTTCTTAATAATGCTTCTAAATCCAAAGAGGCCAATTTAGTAATACTTCCTCCCAAACTTTCATCTTGAGAACCTACTTGACACATACATGAGACAGTCGTAGTGAAGACTTTCTAGCTGCTGTGACCATCAAGCAGTCCAATACCTTCCTACTAAATTCCCACCCAAGGTCTTTCAGCTCAATACATTCGCTGCAGTGTCTACACTTATCCTTGGCCTCTTTCTACCAGAGAGGCAGAAGGCAGGACAGTAATTTGGTTCTTCTCAAGGTTCTAGCTATTTCTAACACTGTAGGACTTGTCTGCATCTTCACCATTTCCTTCCCAACTGCCACATTCCAACAGTACAAGAGCTTAAGACTGAACACAGCCCTCCTTTCTTTTTAAGGCCTGTCAAATAAAGGCTAACTAGCGTGAGCCGTTGTCAGCAGACACTTAGGAAAACACAGCAGATACCCTCCAAGCTACGGTGAACAGAACGACTCTGAACAGAGAGCTCAATTCAATGGCAATCATACACAGAATGGTTTCCTATCCACCTAAAAGGAAACTTTCAGATTTTTTTTAATAAAAATCAGATATAGTAAAGCCCAAGAAACTCAGCATTTACATCTTCAAAAACTCAACTCTTAATTATCAGTGTTAGATGGGACAGAGTACTAAGTACAAAAGAGATAATGAGGCTTTAGTGGAGACTTCCTGTGAGCAGAAAGGAAGGGAAATAAGTAAAGACCCTAGGAAAGCTCATCAGTGAGCAGCAAAGCTCTCACTTTAATGGAAATCTGATAAAGTGACAGAGACTCTTAATATTCAGTATTCAGCCAGTCATCCCCAGTCATTCCTAAGCAACAAGGCAACAGAGAGCCAGCAGTGCACCCATAGATTTGAACATAAGGGAAAATAAGCAAACCAATTCAGTTTTTTACTCACAATAAAAGCCAAACCAGCCTGAACTGTCAGCTCTGGCAGTTTTCACCCAGTGATCCCACCAACAGGGGGAAGGTGGCAGGCAGTAAGTTGCTGAATTAAGGGTCAAGTCTAACTGCAGCTCAGAGGCTTTATAGTCTAAAGGGGAGGAGAGCAAATAAGTCCCAGCCACAGCTGAGGCCGCGCAGGATGAGAACTGGCCTGCCCTGCGTTCTCACAGGGCTGCTTATCTCCCTTTGTTCCCAGAGGAACTGAAGGGCACCCAGCATGCCTCCAACAGCCTCACTTCTGTATCCTGAGTGAGGGGCAGAGCAGGCAATGAGGCCTGGGCACACAGTTGTAGCACTACAAGACTCACAGGAAAATAATTTTGGTTGTTATTCTCAGTAAGATTAAAAAGGCATCTTCAGAATCCAGGGACAAATTTCTAGTCTGTTTCTACAATCTGTGGCAAAAATAAATGAATGAATGAATGAATAAATAAAAAACCAAACAAACCCTTAGGGTCCCACCATTCCATCTTGCCTCCTTTCCACTGAAAACCAACTGGCACATAAACTGATTTAAGCACTAAGTACATCTTCTTCCCTGATGGCCAAAATTAACAGGAAACCAATAATAGCACCACCATTAGGACAACTTTTACATTAAAAACAATGAACTTTCTTCAAGAGAGAACTAAACCACTCTATGCATTATCATAAGAATCACATAGAATTCTCTAAAACATTTTGTTTTGCTCAGAAGCTGCTGCTTGAGTGAATGCCAGGACCCAGGACGTCCTGCTTGCAGGTTCCCAACTCACCCTGGGGTAAGTGGCTCTAGCTTCTTAAATCTGAGCTCAAATATACCAGGGAGTAGGGGTGGGGGTTGCACAGGGCTCTGTCTTGTCTGTCTCTCTCCAATTTTTGTCTCAACTTCCCTGCTGAACCCGCTGCTTTGCTAAGAATCAAGATTAAGGTGTTTTTCAAGTAGTATGATACCAGGTCCCATTTTTTCACCTTGGTCATTAAAAAAAAACAAAACAAAAAAACCCACTACTCGTAGTCAATCAGATGGTAACTGACTAAAACAAACCAGGGAGGGCACAGTACTGAGCGCATGGCTTGCTGTACAAAAGTAATGCCGTATTTTAAATCATCCATCCTTAAAACAAGGGAACTCACTTCTTGGAACCTCTAGGATTGCTTAGTAATTACTAGTAAACATTAATTACTTATACCTAATAAGGTACTAAACCCTGGGCCGCAGTGAATGCTGAGGTGATGAATGGCCCTAGCCAGACCCTGACCTTCCCAACAGTTTCCCCAGGACAAAGGTGAGGCAAGGATGGGGACAGAACCAGTAACAAATGCAGGTCTTGTGCTTGCTCCACCATTCTTAAAGCACTAGCTCCAAAAATAAAAAGCTCTGCAGAGTAAATTCAGTCATAAACTTCTACCATCAATATGAGCTCTATTTATTTTTCAATGAATCACGTACATGATGAATTTAGTTCACCTTAGATATTCTCAGGCTCCTGATCTGTAATGTAGGCAACACTAAAACTATTCAATCTCAAATGTCACTGGCTGCAGGGGTTACTAGACCAATGATATGACTTCTACAGGTTGTTCCAGCTACCTGCCTTCTTCAATAGTTAATACAACTTCAAAGAATCCCTAAGAAATGTTAGTATTGGTAAAGTGCAGGGGTAAGGAATCACGGTATGTGGTTGGGACCCAAGCACAAGAGGGAGATCTGATTCAATCTGGAGTCCTGTGAATTAGCTCTTTAAAGATGTGAACCAACATGAAGTGAAGGGCCACCTTTTCACTACTTTCTGTGAGTTATTGTTTCGAGTTACTCGGCAGGCTGTTAGGCTATACTCAGGAACACTGACTGACTCTAGGCCAGACACTAAGGACTTACAGCATCTCCATTTCACACACAGATGATTTAAGGTCTCAGTTATCAGGACTGAACTGGGTAAAGCCAACAGACTTCTTGTTGTACCGTGTCTCCACCCATCCAACCCCAGATTCCATGAAAACCCATCAGACACTCTGCATTTTAGTGACACGTGTTCCCACCCTGGGCTGTAACAGACATTCCTGTGCCAACTGCTCTCTTTCCACACGGTCCCCAGGGTGCCCTACCTATTGCCCAGGTTTAGCTCAGCTGAGTTATACACAAACCCAGAACCCAGCAGTGCCAAGGCAGATTCCTGTTCTACCCTTTCCCTGACCTACACTGCTCACTCAGCAGGCTGGTCTCATTTTAGGCAATAAAAGACACAGGATAGGTTAAGTTGTAGTAAGGACACCACAAACACAACAGCCAACTGTATGTACCCTAACTTCCTTTTCAACCCGTTCCTCTTCCACTCTAATGATGGCTCTTACCCACTCCCTCTCCTTACCCTATCTACTTTTTGGTCTCCAGTCTACACAATGCACCCTATACGAGAGGAAGTGGTCTTTTAAAGGGTGCTATTTTATTTCCCTCCTCAGATCTTCCTGATCTAGAACGAATTAAAACAAATCTCACGCATACAAGAACCCACGTAGAATTCCCAGGCTCTGCTCACTTCCCTAGTGAGTCTGGGCTTTGGGACCTATAGTCTCCCGTGGTGACCAACACCACCGTGTACTCCAAGGCCTCCTTCCATTCTGTTTTCTCATGGGTTCAGGAAGACAGCTTACTCCTTTGGTCCACATATACCCACCCACCCTCATGCAGCCTGACTGCCTTACCACCCCTACCTCCCACTCCTGGTGATGGTCTACTATATTATTACCGATCATCTATCTGGGCTAGCTCAAGATCAGCCATCTATCATCTACAGCACCCACCACACCACAGCTCCTGGCACTTATTAAAGTCTCAATCAATACTAGCAGCGAGCTCAATAAACAAGCTAAAACAGGCATCTATCTGTAAACAAACTACTTTCCCTCACTCCAAAGGCTCCGTCATCTACACCGGTGTGCTCTGCAAGACATAAGTCACATTAAACATTGTCTATTATACACAGGATCTAATATTAAGGTGGCTGCCAGCCCCGCCCCTTCTCAAATGCTGAAGGCAGTTTGCCTTCTCAGTCCAGAACCACAGCACAGCCATGATGGCCCATCATGCCATCCTATTTTGCCCATGTGCAGCGTGCAAGCTTCCTCTGCTTTCCCACGGAGAATCACCTTAACTACCACAGCTAACTTTTCCTGTGTCCTCCTGGTCATGATCGGAGTTACATCTTCAAGGCTACGGGCTTGTTCCACACCTAACAGGATTCTGTGTGGCCAAGGTGTACTGACAACAATCTGCTCACAGCACAGGGCAGCTCCACCTACAGTATTAGCTGTTCAATCCCTTACCTCCAAAGCACTGTTTCTGGAAAATCTGCCAAATACAAACTCAAACACAGGAAAAGAAGAAAAAGGAAAAAAATACCCTACGTAAACTACCTAAAGTTTCTGCTCCGTAACCATTTATCCAGTCTTCACTGAAGAACTCCGGAAAAGATGGCTGGTTGACCACGGAGCACACACGAATATGCTTAGCACTATTGTTCCACGTGGCTTTGGGGGTGGGGTGGGAGGACACGTCTTTTAAAAGTACTACGCACAAGTTCACTCTGGTTGGGTTATCCACACCTCCTTTTTACACCAAAAGAAGCCTGACTTTCAAAACCACGTGATTTTCACCCCATTTCAAGTTAAGTTCCCCCTGACGGTAGCTGATTTCACCCGATGGGTGAAAGGCAGTCGAGAGCACTCTGGAGCTGGAAGCAAGCATTTCGGCGGGGACCAGGGGACTCAAGCGCGCTCCCTAGAGGGGCTGATAAAGCCGGGACAAAAAGAGGCGAGGGGACGATGGCCACCCGGGTGTTCGCTAGAGGAGTGTACACCTGTCTTCCTACGACTGCAAAAAAAACGGGGGGAAGAGCCCACATACCCCCCAAAGCACGGACCCCCTCCCGGGCGGTCCTGTGCTCCAACGCCTTGGGCCCGGCGCTGCGCGGCCCCGCCAACCTCCCGCCTCGCGCCCTCCACTCCGACTTCCGGGCCGGCGCTCCAGCCCGGCAGGCCC